GAAGAACCGAAGAAGAAACTTAAAGGAAATGAGGCACTTGCAGATTGAATCTACTTTTTAGGAGGAGAAAGGAATGTGAAGATCAAGACTACACACACACACGTCTCCTCTTGAAAATCAAAGTCTTTTTACCCCCAACTAAGACTATATGCATGCAGTTTAGTTTGATTCAATTCAAGCTATATATATATATATATATATATGCTTCTTCAATGGTATTCAGTCAGTGTTTTGTTGATTCTTCCATGGTTTCATTTCATGCATTTTAAATATTTGTGTTTTGGGTTGAATTTTTCAATATTCAGTGTTAGAGAAAACAAACAATTTCGACATATATTACATTTAATTAATTAGTTTACCCTTCTTTATCACGCAAAGTGAAGCCAGAAGCACACTGGAAATTAATATGCAGCGATATCTATATATATATATATATATATATATATTAATAAGATGTGTATAGGAGGATTGTATCAAAACAATTAGTCAGATACACACGTGGAGTATTGGTTGACAATTTCGATTCAAACAAATTAATGAAATTACATTAGAAATTTCAAACAGCAATGACCCGACAACAAGTACCTACCCACCTGTGTTGGTGCTTAAAGTTCTATAATTCAGTACGTAGAAAAGTATTCATCCAAAGAAAACCCTGTGCAAATTCAAAAGTCTACCAACTATCTAGTAGTTTTTTTAATCTCTTAACACAAGCGATATGAGGAGGGGAGAATTGAACTTAGAATCTCGAATACTCTTAATTACTCTCGCTAAAAGCCTCCTACCAACTATCTAGTATATTTTAATTAAACTCTTTTTGTTTTTAATTAGTTAATGCAATACAGGACTCCTGTTCTCAACAAAAAAAGTACGTTTATGATTCACATGTATGATTATATCAAAACTCTTAAAATAATCTGAGCTGACCCATTCATTCATCAATGGTCAAGATGAACTGTTTGACAATATATAAAATATATGTTTTCATATTGATATACAAAATGTATGAATCACAATCACAAGCTAGCAAAAGGGAAGAGGAGACAAAATATGGGGTTGCCTAGGAAAAGAAAGTAGATTGACGACATGAGCACATACAATTCAGTAATGAAAATTGAAATTGAAATTGATGAAAATAACATGAAGTAAATTGTAACTTAGTAATAAGAGTCAAATAGTCGTGCATTTGGCAGATGGATGGAGCTGGAAGTCAGTCAGAAGTACGATGGCTTTCCACACTATTAATTTTAGGAAGCCAGTACTCAAATTCTCAGCTGACCCGACTTTTCAAATGCATTTATATTTAGATCCATCCATCCATCTTTCAATTTCAAAGGCACTAATTATCCATAATTTCCACATGGACTGCGGTGGCTTTTGGCTAACACAAACTTTGGCCACATCCCCTCCTCTCCATCTCCCAGCTGCCCATGCAGAGTGTGGACCAGATTATATTACCATATGCTTTTCTGGCCTATTGCTTTCTCTTCTTCTTTTTCTATACTTGGTAAGCTCACATTCTACATCTGTCTCTCTCCATATATCTTCCGCGCAAAGTATATAGAGATATCTCCACATCTAATCCTAGTCTTTCATCACTGAGTTGTTAATTTCTGTTTAGTTTTGCTTTAACAAATTGTACAGCTGTCATTTGGATAACATTATAAACCACATTTCCAATTTCAACTTACATTGTATGATTCCAATATGTACTCAATTTTTTAACACATATTATGTTTTAACTAGATTGTACATGTCACTCACCCTCGTCCTGCCCAAGAACAACAAAGCTACATGTTAACTACCCTAGACTATAGCGCAGTGCAACCTTTTCTTTCTACAGCACAATAGTTTAGGATATTGAAATTCTAGCCCACCCATCTAGCTGTCAAGTTTGTATGTAGTTTCTTCATTTTTACAGCTAGCTAGTTGCACAAAAGCCATAGTCATTCTTAATTGCATCCTTGAAGTCCAAAAAAATTCCAATGTAAGTGTAGCTTATTTTATTTTTTCACTTAACAAAATAGTAGCCCACCTCTTTGAAAATTTCTGGATCCGTCCTTGAACCTTCCACATGACATGATAGGGAAGTTCCCACCCAAATTTGTCCATAGAAATGTTGCTAATATAAAAAGTGATAGAAGATGATTTTTATTTTTATTTTTAATACAAGCGATAGTCTAAACTATAAGGAGAGGGGGTTTCTCACATGCACACACGACCAAGATGTCATGGGAATTCGAACCAAAGACCATTAATTTGTAAATCAAGGCCATTTTCCACTGAAATAGACCCTGTTAGCGATAGAAGATGGATTAAACACGTATGTTTTATCTCTACTTTAATTATATATGATGTGCTCTATGCACATGATAAATGTATATATTCAGATATTTTTATTGTTGTTTTCCATGTACAATTGGGCAAAATAAATATTGGCTTTTGCACCTTTCAACTGAGAAGGACATCAAGTGATCAGATTCACATAACTGTGGGAGCAAGTCTGCTGCATGCACTCTAGTATCATCATCGCTCACCAACACTACTGCACTGATTAGCGCCTTGACTTTTTTCATGACTGTGTGAATGCATCCCATTCGAGAAATTGACAAGTCTTGTTGGTTTCAGAGAGGAAGCACGCATGAAAATTCTTCAGCTTGCAAAGTTAGGGTTAGCAGTATTGCAGACTTGTAGTAGAAGATAACTTCGTTTGAAATCAATAGCTGACTTTTTGGAAATGGAAGTCAAACAGAGGCATCAACTTTTTTTCAATTTTAAAGACCCATTGGATATGGAGTTACATTATGATGACTTTCGCATTCTTTTCTTTTCTTTTTTCTTTTTTCTTTTTAGACAATAGAATATTAACGTAAGATTAAAAGAAAAATCAAATAATAGATCCTATTTTTATGAAACACAACAACCCGTTATCTTTCTTAATTTTAAAATAATAATTTTTTTTTAAAAAAAAAGCCTCTCGCAAGAGCGGAAGCGCGTGCGGAGAGGCTAGTTTCATGAAAGAATCTTTTGGGGTTATGGAAATTTGAACTATTGTGAAGTTTGTCCAAGTCTAATTCCTTATTTAGTTTTCTTTAAAATGTAATAAATTTAATACTTGAACAATCCATGTAAAATGATGATTAGTTTGCTTTACATCTCTCTCTAACATAAGTGAAGCGCACCAATATAATGCGGGTCACCTCTATTAGAGAGGTACATAGTGTGGTATATAAATGTGTTATGACTAGCATTTTTGTTAAATTAAATACTTATCACAAGTTTATGAAAATTTTAATTGTGTGTGAAATTGAATTTTTCAGGTGCTATCAGAAAAAGAACTCAATATATATATATATATATATATACAGTTATTCTCTTATCCGGATGTCCGCACGTTATTATCGTGCGGATCCTATTGTAAACAGGCAGGAAAACAGGGAGGGGTAGTACTAAATACACGGCGTCCGCACGATAATAACGTCCGGATGTCCGCATAAGAGAATTTCTGTATATATATTCGCCCATCCACGGCCCTGCTTTCTCTATTTGTCTTGGGCTCTCACTTAAAACCATACGTCGTTTTCAGGCTGAAAGTTTGTCACCCCATCTATCCCGAAAACATAGCAGGCTTATATGATTGGACCCAAATTCTAAACTAGTTTGTCACTAACTTAGGGATTGTTTGATAAATTTATTTATTTTTTTTCATTTTTCATTTTCACTTTTTTTGAAAGTTAAAACTGAAAACATGTTTGGTAACAGATTTCAATTCCAGTTATCAAAAAATTGAAATATAGTTTTTAAAATCACCTTTATTTTTTAAAACAACTTGGAAAGTGTTTTTTTTTTTTTGCACTCCTTTTTCATTCACTAATTTTACATCACCACAAATGAAACGCACTTCAGTTACCAAAGCTTGGTATTTGGGACCCCTCAACTTGGACCTAGCTACTCATATCTTGTGTTCGGCCACGGACCTAGTCCAAGCCTCGGAACCTCCAAAGCCTTGAAAACTAAAATTGGTTACCAAACAAGTTTTTTGTTTTCAATTTCCTAAAAATAAATACTGAAAACTGAAATGGTTATCAAACAGACTTAATTTAAACTTTAATAAGTTCCACTAAACTTTTTGTTTTAGTTAAAATAAAAATAAAAAGCATCTGAGTTATGAATACTTGAATCACGTGTAAGGTAACTTCATCCCTACATTCATAATCAGCATTTCATATAGTTAAACTACCAGCTATCATCTATGACTTGCAAGTTTCCACAATTCCACACTTTTACCTAACTCCTTCAAAAGCCTTGGCCCATTTATTATTATTATTTTTTATTTCCCAACCAAGTCTTCTTCTTTTGTGCCTTCTATTATCTAAAGGTAGTGAAATTTATAGGTAAGAAATTCACAGACACACGCATTACTTACGTGTACCCACGTGTAGGCTATAGCTTGTCTAGCGTCAACCCTCTCTTACTTTTCACGTTTCTTGCAATTTTTATCCATTTTTTTCTTTTTAATCTTACGTTAATATTCTACACAGTAATGCGAAAGCTCCTCACGAGGCGAAAAATGTAGGAAAATGCTAGACATATCACATTATTAATATAATAAGTTTTGTTTTTAACACCTTAGAATAACTAGGTCTTCACGAGCCACCAAAAGCAAAATGCAATATTTTTTGTTGTTGTTGACGATGGTACTTTGGCTTTTTGGAGACTTATCCTTCAAAGAAACTTGCAAAGAAAAGACACAAATCAAATTTGCAAGTGTCAAATTGAAATGACGGCCGAAAACTACGAACCGCATGCATAATTTTACTTTACATTTCTCCATCAGTTTCTAGACCCCCATATTATTTTCGTGGTCAGCATGAGAAGGGAGGAGGCGGAGAAGGGGAGGGATTGTGGGGTTCACGAAAAAGAAGACGACACTTGGTTCCTGCCTGACACGTGTCACGGGACTAAATCATGCAAGTGGAAAAATGCGGTATATTAATTGGTATCTACCTTGAGCAATTCGCATCTTACCTCTCGATTCTTGGCATCTCTCTATACGGACCCTCTACTGGACTTGGCACACCAACCATCACAAATCCAACGGCCCAAATTCTCCCTCGGATTCTCTCTCCTCCCACCATAAATTCATCCTCACCCGACCCACACCTCGTATTCTTCACCACACTCGGACGCAAACCTCAACACAAAAACACCAGAAAACCCCTGTTCTGTTCCATTTCAACATGAACTCTGTGTTGGATTCTCCTCTCGAAGCTCTTGCTTTCAACTATGCCAGCTTCGGATTGTTCACTGTTGTGAACAATTTGTGGACTTGGGTCGCCGTTGTGACGGCCGCCGTCAGCTTCTTGAGCCTCAGGCGCAGACCCAGTACCAGAGCTGCCAGCACTGCTATCTCTTCTTCTTGTCTGAAATTCAACTCACCACCTTCCAATGACGACCGGAGCTCAAATGGGTTGTCACTGGTTCCGGAGATAACGCCTTCGGAAACGGCCGAGGAGCCACCGTGCTCTGTTTTGTCTCCGGTGGCTGCGCCTTGTAAGTTTGAAGATGATAGAGTAGTAGTGACAAAAGGGTTGAAGTACACTCTGTATTATGCGGATAAAGCAGAAGGCGACGTTGACCTAACGGCGGAGGAGGAGGAGGAGGAAGCGGGAGAGTGCGCCGGCGATGAGGCGGTGGCTGAAGGTTGTGGGGAATGGTTGGAGGGTGTTCTGGGGCTGAGATTAGGGGAGATGGGTTGGTACAGGCACCAGGACTTGACGGAGCTTAACGGTAACGTCGTTAGATTATGGGATGATTGTAGAGTTGGCGAAAGGCACAGCTCATCAAAATCAACACACCGTGTCGTGTGGTAGTTAGATTGTCGTATAGCAGAGGGAATTGTTTTATTGCAATAAGCTCCTGTTCTTGGGATTAGGGTTGTAAAAAAAATGTAAATACATTTTGTCTGGGTTAAACATGATTAATCCACTGAATCAATGCAATGCTAATTGGTTCTTTTTGGTTCTCTAATTCTTGTTCTTTCCATTAAACCCGATTATATTGCCAGTTGATGTGATTTATTATTGTACCTCGTGTCTGTTCATAAAATACATATAAATATACAATTGACAAACTGGGTACAGCCAAAATAATGCGAGAGAGAAGACAGCAGCAGATAAATTATAGGACTGATGCGGTGGGGGCGGTTGTGTTTGGTTGTACTATATTAATTAATAACCATTTATCTGACTAGATATGCAATTATAAAATGGTAAGTAAGGCTGAAGCAGCATCATTAACTTTATTCTATTAGATTTAATTATTCGCACCATAAATTTTTTCTTATTTTTTTAGTACAAGCGATAGCTTATGTCCTTTTTTATTGGGCTAAATCCCATCAGCAAATCTCTTCTGCTCTTACTAATAATGTTGATTGTTGTGAGAAATTATTAATATATATAATATAATTATATAAAGAATCTTAGAATCTAGTAACAATCAATCAAATGGTTTCAAGTCACCTACATATTGACAATTATGTTTAACAAATGGTCCTTGTAGTAAGTAGGACCTGTTGGGAAAGATGAGTACGTGTGGGAACAGAATGATGGATTCATAGAAATTTTAATGACAAATCATGCACTTGTTGTATATATATATGATACAACTTAAGAAAAATAATAATAAGTTATAACACATCATTATGAACAATCTTTGATTGGTGAGGACCGCATCAATGATGACCAATGGCCACCAAACCATTACTCAGGGAATGGGTGCATAGAAAAACAAGCTACTAACTCTCAAGGTAGAAGGCTTTGGAGCAATAATTTTTGCATGTTTGAGGTAGGAAATGCATGTCCTATGTATATCGGATGGCACACAGTGTACTCGGAAGATGCAAAAATTCATCCTCAATATCATGTTTATAATTAGTTCATAATCTTGAAGCACATCTTAAACTTATTGTGGTTTAGTAGTTGTGTAACATGGACATGGGAGGTGATAAATTTCTTAGTATTTTCAATAGTATATCCTGCATAATAGAACTGCACATGTACCGTATGCGCCAAATTTGCTATCCTTTTATGTGTGTACTGAATTATATGCTTTATGGATTCCAGGTAAGAGGTTGTACGTGTACAATTGATAGCAACCTAAGCTTTGTTGGGCTCCTATGGATTCCAGGTAAGAGCTTGAATTCCAGCTATGGCCATATGTTACACTGCTACACTTGTACTATACTGTCATTTGATTCCATTACCATCACCAATAATTCTTCATGAATACCTCAAACCTGTTCTCAGCAAGCTGGTGTGAAATCCTAACTTGTAAATATAGGAAAAATAAATACAAAATACTATGCCCAATTTCCTATATAATACTCGACACCTTATGTTATTAATGAGGGGCAATGTTAAGAGGGTGTTTTGAGAGATTCAATCTAGTCGTCTAATATTGAGGAATTCATTTATCAAAGACTCATCATTATAATCCCTCATTATAGTCTTACTATATGTGACTAGCTCATGGATATGATATTGTATATCATCCAAGGGTCCATAGGGTCTCAGCTTTCACAGTCGTTGGATCAAATTGATTAGCCTGATTCAATGGTTAAGAAATAAGACCGCACCTAAGGGTCATTTATAAGACCGTCAATATAGAATTCTTGTTATTGTGTATGCATCATGATAATGGGCCCACAAATTTAATGGTGGGGATTGTGAAGCCCGTTTTCTCCAATTGGGCCAAAAAGCCCCAACTGCTCGCAATCCAGCTTCACGTGGGTAGACCCCTTACCATATCCACACTCCAGACAAACCTCATTTCGCTCACTCTGGCATTTTATCAAACACGTCGCGCGCCACACATTTTGAACTGAACTGGGCCTGCAGGAAGAGCTGCCGTGCCCGTGCTGTCAAATGTTTTTACCAGGAGAGGGGAGAGAGAAACCCAAGAGAGAAAAGTGCATATGCAATTTATACTGTGGGGTAGGCATTATGTCACAATGCAATTCCAGACTGCATTTCACATGCTGTGTTTCAGAACTCAACCCCTGCCATGTCAAATTCATGGGAAGGCTGTTGGGCTCACAAAAGTTTGATTCTTATCGGTTTTCTGCTGCTAATAATAATTCATGTGTAAGGGGACCAATGTTTGCCAATCAAACTCCCACTCACTCACTCACTCTATCAAAGTGGCATGCAAAGGAGTTGCTTTTGATTTCTCACTCACTATATTATAAAAATATAATTGGTTCCGTTTGGTGATGAGCATTACATCACAGGCCCCTATACTACACTATATACTATATGTAGCTTCATTTCATGCCCTCCAATTAAGGGTGGGCTTAGCCTGCTGGTATTGTTCTTTTATCCAGATACTTACGTTGTCACATGTAGGATTTTTTTTTTTTTTTTTTAAAGTGGTTATGGTATGGATATAAATAATTACAGAGTCACATGTAGGCTTAAAAATGGAAAAAGATTTCCATGAAATGGGGATAAATAACATCATTTTGTTATTCTCGATCAATAACGCTATGACACGCATGATAACATTTCTAGCTAGCATAATATTATTGGTCACGGATAACAAAACACTACTATTATGGTCGCAACTAAAATTTTCTCCTATAAATGGCATTGCCTACCCCTAACCTTCATGCCGTTCTTATAGTGAGTTTTTATGCATATAAAAGTTACAACCATACAAGCCAAAGAATAATCCATGTGTTAAGTCATTCATGATTGTTTAACAAAATGACATTTTTTATGATTGTTTTGTTTGGTTCTCCAAATTTATTTGAATGTCACCTCACTGAAACGTATTGAGGGCAATGGGTCGGCAGGCAGCATGCACAGAACATGGTTGAGGACTTTGGTTATTCGTCAATAAATACTGTTTCAATGTTGGTTAGTGGTAGGTTGATAGCTTTGTGGTGCATTTATTCAGAGCCCTCGACAGGTCCCAAACACTTAGCCAAAATAGCCACAAACGGGGGAGCGTAAATTTGCAATTAGACTGCCTACAAGAAACACAAAGAAAAGATGTTTGACAAGACGTGTTGTTTGGTTACGGGATTTGAATTGAGATATTTAAACTAACACTTTTCGAGCTTTTTGATGTTTTCATAAAACTCTCAAAAATTACATGAACATTTAGGTTTAAGTTTGTTTTCACAAAACTCCTCTTCATTTATTGTTTGTCTAAAAATTAATTATTTCATTGAAAACCTGCTTTTGCAAATGACAAAATTAACCTCAATGAATATATATACAATCTAATTTCAAATGTAAATGTTGTCATTTGGAGAATTTTTTATTTATAAAATCATCAATCTTTGGAAGAAAAATCAATGAAAAGGAATTTTCTAAAAACAAATAAAAATCTTAGGGGATGTTTGTGTAATTTCTGAAACTTCGGGGAATTTTGTGAAAAAACAAAAATCTTAAGGAGTGTTAGTGTAAATAACTCATTTGAATTTCTCGAAATAATTTCCATTGCCTTTGTTAAATTTTTGTGTTCATTTGTTTTGATGATTATCCCTAAAGAGGAAAATAAACTCCCTTCCCTCCCTCTAAACCTTTTTTCATTATAAAAAAATTTAAAAATTTAAAAATTTTAAAAAAAAACTTTAGACCAGTACAAAAAAATAATGATGGATGTCATTAAATTATTCGTCCTAAAAATAGTGAATAGATAGCGATGAATCTATACCTCTAAAAAACATGGGTCGGTTCAATTATAGGAGTGGATGGAATAAATACCATCCGTATTTTCAACCCAAAGATTTACCAAAGTCAATATGACAAAAGGTAAACTAACATGACTATGTGTTTAGGTTTGCTTTCACCATAAATCAAAGGATGAAAAGATTGATTGACAAAGCATTTTATACATTTGTTTGACACAAGCGATATTAAGAGAGAGGAACTCGAACATAAGAAATCATATGCAAAATAATCGCTCTTAAACCTCTCTAATTACGTTCGACTCAAAATTAACAAGCATAATTTTGTTGGATTGTTAATATTTTTCTTACCGATCAAGACAATCCCGTTATATTTTATTTATCAATTAAGAATAAAATAATATGGTATTCTTAACATTAATCTTTTCCTAGCTCAAAGAGGGGTTTGTTTTCGTAGCCTTGCCCCCCAATCAACCACACATACCCTTATAAAACCAACCGTTGGCGCACCCATCGATTAAGTAAATACAATCATATCAGACATCCATCCACCACCCAACAACCCCAACACATACTTACACTCACACTCTTCTTCACTCTACTTCCCCTCACCATTCTCTCTCTCTGTCTATCTCAGATCTTCCCACCATTACACATCAAAACGATGCGTTTCCTAATCTCTCTCCTCCTCCTCCTCCTCCTCCACTCCCTACCCTACTCCGCCGCCGCACGGAAACACAACCCAACCAACTCATCCCATCTCGTCCGTTCGTCATGTAGCCACGCCAGCTACCCCAACCTCTGCATCCACTCTCTCTCCACCTACACGGGCCCAGCAAACACCCCTCGCGACCTGGCCCAGGCCGCCGTCACCGTCAGCCTCTCTCGAGCCCACCGCGTCTCCAGCTACCTCGCCCAACTCTCCCACTCCGACCAGGGAACCAAACGAGAGCGTTCCGCGCTCAGCGCCTGCATCGACCTCATGTCCGAGTCCTTAGACGAATTAACCCGGACGCTCGACGAGTTGAAGCACCTCCACCCCGAAACGTTTCGGTTTCAGATGAGCAACGCCAAGACTTGGGTCAGCGCGGCCCTCACAGATGACGACACGTGTCTTGATGGGTTTGCGGAGCTTGATGTGAAGGTGAAGGCGGATATGAAGCGCAAGATTACGAATGCGGCTAGGGTTACTAGCAATGCGCTGTACCTGATCAACCGCCTTGATGAAAGCCGTGGTCGACCCAGATCTAAACATTGATGATTATGATGATGGCGATGGACGGCCGTGATTCTGTTTCACTGGGTGTATCGGATCAGTTCACGCCGCGGGCGTTATCTAATATCTATAGCGTGTCTAGTTCGTTCGTACTTTTTTTGTTTTGTTTTTAATTTATAAAAAGTTGTACGTACTGCATATATATCTCTTCCTCAGACTCGTAGTGTATCATGTCATGTTTTCTCTAAAATTGAAAGGCTACCAAATTGAAGTGTTGATGTCCTTCTTGTCTTTTACTCATCAAAGTCACTTGAATTACGTGATAAATAACAATGTTCAAATAATTATTTATTCAAAATTTCGTTAATTGAAAACATTGGTTACAAGTAATTGCGGACCTTTTTCTAACTAATAATAAAATTTAATACGAGTAAGAGTGTGGGCTTACTGACTAATTGACCTAACTCATGTTTGTAACAAGAAGAAAATATTTTAAACTAGTGTAATACTTTAATTACCTGGCCAAACCCACTTAGACCTAACTCATGTTTGTAACAAGAAGACAATATTCTATTCTAAACTAGTGTAATACTTTAATTACCTGGCCAAACCCACTTACACAATTATATTCTTTCTTTGTTGTAGCTCATATACCTAAAAAAATCTGTGTTGGTTCATGAAATGAAATAATAATTTTGATCATAAAGCTCAATAATGACTAGGGAAAGTTATGGGGCATCATGAATATTTAGGGACCAAACTTTATGGTGTGTATATAAAAATGAAGGAGCTTTTGAAAGTGACTGGGGATATGGACAACAAGAAAGCATGTGACCAAACTGAAGTAGCAAAATGGCAGCTTTTGAAGAGGTGTGATCAATGCTCTCTTCTTCCCGAGAACACAAGGGATCAATATTTAAGCCATTCGATCAAGGGCTGGTGGGCCCACGCAATAACAAAGTAAATTCAAAGTGAAGAAACTATATATTTTCATTTTGAGAGCTAAATGGGTGGGTTAGAGAGAGGCAAAATCCTAAAATATTGTGCTGTAAAAATAATTATGAACCAAGGCAAGGTTGCCCTGGGCCATAGCTCAGGACAGCTAACATGTACCCTTCATTTGACCACGCCAAGTTGTAGAGTCTTCCTATGATAAAGAAAACCAAACAAAACATTAGATATTATCACAAATTTACACCAAGTCGCATAGTAAATTTGATTTATAAAAGAAAAACAAAGAACTTAATTAATGACATGTTTACTTGTTTGGAATGAGATCAATGAGGAAATCATAAATTGAAATTGAATTAACCACCCCTCATAGTTGATATAATTTCTCGTTTAAAGAGTATTGGAATACTGATTCAAAAGTATTTTTTTTATTCTTTATATGTTAGTAAACGTGGAAAAATAAAGAATTAAGCAATTCTATTTTTTCTCGTACCAATTCTTGGTAAGTAAATTTTGTTTTGAAAGTCCAGAAAGTTGATATCACCGTAATCACCAACAATCCATCTTAAACAAGCATACATAGCCCTCAGAAAAGAAAAAAGAAAGGAAAAAAAAGGAAGGTTTTATTCGGGGCAAAGCATCCGACCCGGCCCAGTAAAATATAGAACCATTGAGCCCAAAGCGGTGGAATGAATGTCGGTTGTTCGCTTCACGGACTCAGGATATGAACCCGCCAATTCTAACTGGGCCAACTTCTCCTTCTTCACTCTCGACTATTGTCCATAAACCCTAGCTACCTCCTGAATTCATTGAAGCTAGGGTTTTTCTGCAACTCCCCAATCCCCGCCCAACATGGAAGGCATCGAAATGGACGACGGTTGCACTCTCCCCCTGATCGAAGACGACGACATCTGCACCTCAATACTCGCGCGCTTCGGCAACTCCACGCGCGAGGACCACCACCACCTCTGCGCAGCCATAGGTGCCATGGCTCAGGAGCTCAAAGACAAGAACCTCCCTTCGACCCCGGTCGCCTACTTGGGCTTCACGTGCTCTTCTCTCGACGGCCTCTCCTCCCAGCTCGAGCCTCCCGCTCATGTGATCGACGCCCTCCTCACAATTCTCTCCATTGTCTTTCAAAAAGTCTCGGCCGCAATTCTCGTGAAGAAGTCGGAGTTCCTATCGGAGCTCTTGGTGCGTGTTCTGCGGTCTCCGTCTTTGACAGTGGGCGCCGCCGTCTCAGGATTGAAATGCATATCGCATCTGCTTATCATCAGAGGCCGTGTCAACTGGTCTGATGTGTCTTCATTGTATGGCTTCTTATTGAGCTTTATTACAGATTCCCGCCCTAAGGTGAATTGCTCACATTTTATTTGTTCTTTAATGTTGATCGTTTATCATGGAATTCATTTCATTTCTGATATTTGTAATGTAGATTCTATAAAATGGATTCAAGTTTTAATTTTTATATGGTGTTTTAGATGTCTACTTTGTAATGTACTTATTTTTATGCTAATTGTATTCTAAAACAGGTGAGAAGACAATCACAATTGTGTCTTCGTGATGTACTGCAAAGTTTTCAAGGAACACCGCTGCTCGCCCTTGCAAGTGAAGGGGTTACTAACCTATTTGAAAGGTTTCTTCTGCTTGCTGGTGGGTCAAATGCAGATGCGGGTGAAGGACCCAAGGGAGCTCAGGAGGTCTTGTATATTTTGGATGCTTTGAAAGAGTGTCTTTTTCTTATGTCAATCAAGTACAAAACTTCCGTCCTCAAGTACTACAAAACTCTCTTGGAACTGCACCAACCACTTGTTACAAAGCGCATAACAGATAGTTTGAATATACTTTGTCTCAATCCATCTACAGACGTTTCTCCTGAAGTGTTGCTCGATCTGTTATGCTCATTAGCTCTTTCTGTCTCCACAAATGAGACTGCTGTCGATGGGATGACATTCACAGCTCGCTTGCTTGGTAGTGGAATGGCCAAAGTTTATTCCCTCAATAGGCATATATGCGTTGTTAAACTCCCTATTGTATTCAATGCACTCAGAGGTATGTATTGTTTTCCCTCCTTTATTGACTTTAGTTGTATACATGTTAGCTTCCTATACATTCAAAAAAATCTTCCCCCCTGAGTTCCTGTTTGTATCTCTTTCCATTCTAGAAATCAAGACTCAAAAAGTACTGTGGTGTTTTTTCTTTGAGTTTGGCAGATGTATTGGCATCTGAGCACGAAGAGGCCGTACACGCAGCAGCGCATACATTTAAGAGTCTCATTCATGCTTGCATTGATGAAAGCTTGATCAAACAGGGAGTTGACCAGATTGTAATGAATGCAAATCTGGATGCAAGGAAGTCTGGGCCAACTATAATTGAAAAAGTATGTGCTACTATTGAAAGCTTACTTGGTTATCACTATGCTGGTGTCTGGGACCTTGCATTCCAAGTTGTTTCAGCAATGTTCGATAAATTAGGTATTGCTTTTGCTGTATCTGACTGTTTTCCTGTCATTTTTAACTAAATTGTTTTTCACTTGCTATGCACTCTCCATTTCATTTAAGAGGTGTAATATCCGTTATCATACAGGGGTATATGCTTCTTATTTCATGAGGGGTGCGCTCAGGAGCTTGGCAGAGATGGAGAAGTTATCTGATGAAGATTTCCCTTTCAGGAAACAGGTCTTTTTCATATCATTCAGTTTTAAGAGATGAAGAGTACTGTTACTTGTCATTATCTTATAGATCTCTATATTTGATCCACGGCTATCTTTGTTGTTCGACAATTGTGACTGTGTACTGGTTTGTTGACTGTGCAGTTTAATGGTCTTATACCATCTTTTACATTCTGGATTGCAGTCATTTATTATCTTTTTGGGTTTTCTGGCCATCCAATGCTAAAATAAGAAAAGAAACGAAAAGCTATAATTCCTCATACTGTATAACTTGCAGCTGCAAGAATAATTTTGATGAGGGGAGCCCTGTTTTGTTGCATTGCTTTGATCAGGGATATCTGGTCTAATATTGCAAATGCATAATATGTGTATAAATCTTAGATTCTATAGCTACAGTTGTAGGTTTGATATCGTAACTAGGTCCACTATGAGCATTTACTAAGTTTTTTTGGTAACAAGTCAAACTATTTTTTTTTTAATAAAGATTATTTGGAAGCTTGTTGTGTCATTTCATCTTTGTTTACTCTCGATCAGTGCAGCACTTACTAATACAATGACTTTATTCTTTTATAGCTGCATGAATGCCTTGGATCAGCTCTTGTTGCAATGGGACCTGAAACATTTTTAGGTCTTCTACCTCTTAATTTGGAGGCTGAAGACTCAACTCAGGTGAATGTTTGGCTCTTTCCGATACTGAAGCAGCATACTATTGGTGCACGTTTGAGCTTCTTTAGAGAGTCAATTTTGGGTATGGTTCGAACGATAAAGGAGAAATCTAGAAAGGTATTTAACAGTTCATACTGATGGAGTGTTAGCTGTTTAATTCAGATGAAATTTTTTAGTTATGTCTTGTATTTGGCAGCTCGAGTCACAAGGACGTATTTTTTCATCAAGGAGTACAGATGCACTTGTACATGCTTTGTGGTCACTGTTACCTTCATTTTGCAACTACGCTTCAGATACTGCTGAAAGTTTCAACGATCTAGAGCAAGCCTTGTGCGGTGCCCTTCAAGATGAACCTGAGTTTCGTGGAATAATATGCATGAGCTTGCAGATTCTTGTACAACAAAATAAGAAAATTGTGGAAGAAATGAATGATCTGTCTGATAGTGAAGTAGGTAGTGCCAGACACAGAGCTATTGCTAATTATACTCCTCAGGTTACAGCAGATAATTTAAGCGCGCTCAAGTCATCTGCTCGCAAGTTACTGCATGTTCTATCAGGTGTTTTCTTGAATACCACAAAAGATGATGCAGGCTGTTTGCAGGTACGTAAGAATACTGAGGTTATATGTCTGTTAGTGTTTGTCCTGCAAAATGTTTGACAAAAATGCCAAATTGGCATGGATTTTAAAATAGTCATGAATTTGTGAGTTTGCTACTGGAGTAACAAATACAGCTCCCATAAGAATCATGCATGTTGTTGTTAAAACCAAAAAGTAAAAAGTATTCATGACACAATCTTGTATTCGTGAAAGAGAGGCGGAGAGGAGTTGTCTCTTTATCGCATGTACTAGGTACCTGGTAGTGGACATTTTAAAGAACTTAAACATAATTGAGCGACAAAGGCAAAGGAAGAAAGGGAAGAAAATGAGGTCGTGACAGACTCACTCTATAAGCTCCAGTCCCTTTTTTACAGTATCACTCTTTTCAGTCTGTTTTTTCTTTCTTTTTGATTTCCCTGTGATGTTTTAAATAAATTTGTACCTCTTTTTTTCCCGTTGCTTCCCCCAACATTATTGTCTTTTTAAAAAATGGATCCAATTTTTACTTGAAAATAGACCTTTATCTTTGATATATGTTCGTACTTGTTAATGTGGCATCAGTTTTTGTGAGGTTGACATTAATTATGTTTGCACCGTTTACAGTCCACAATTGGTGAGTTTGCTTCAATAGCAGATAAAGAAGCTGTGTCAAGGTTTTTCCGAAATACAATGGGAAAGCTTTTAAAGGTTACTAAAGAGGCTAGCAAAGCAGGAACTCCTAGAGATTCTGTCCAAGATAAAGAAGCAGAAAGTCCTAGAGATTTTAATTCCAAGCGGTATATCAATACTTTTTTGTTGTTGTTTATCTTGTTTAGTTCTGGACTTTTATAATTTAATTGTTACTTCTCTCTCTCTTTGTGGAACATCTGACATTACATTAATTCTTCCATCTTAACTGCAGGGCACAACTGTTTGACTTGGTAGTCTCATTTTTACCTGGTTTACATGAAGATGAGGTTGATGTTCTATTTAGTGCAATAAAGAATGCGTTACAGGTTTGAAAGTCTTTCTCTTCCGTCTGGCTATTTTGTTCATTTCTAAGGGACCCCGCAATGCTTCAAAAAAGGAAAGGTTGCACTAACTAAGGGCTTCCTGACTTCAGGATGATGAAGGTTTGATACAAAAGAAGGCATATAAAGTTCTTTCAATCATTCTCAGGGTATGCAAAAGTTAATAATTTGTATGCTTTGAATTATATGGATAATCTATAATAATGCTTCCATACTGTGACTTTTATTGTCATCATCTGTCACTGGAAAATATGGGGAAACATGATTTATTGGGTGTAATTGGTTTGTTTTGCGGCTAATGTCGTAGTTGAAGAAGAGTTGGTCACATAAATCAATCATAATTTTCTGGAATACTCATGTTTTCAAAAATAAGAAAAAGGAGAAACAATAAGATGAAATTATGTGCTGCTGGGCCATCACCTGCCCTTTACCGTGGTGTTTTTTTGCCCCCTTTTTAGCTTATGTATCTCTTTGCTGAATGTATGGTCAGGACTGTGATTCGTTTCTTTCATCGAATTCATCGAAGCTCAAGGAATTGCTTGACCTTATGGTTAATGTGCTGCCTTCATGCCATTTTTCAGCTAAACGGCACAGACTCGACTGCTTGTACTTCCTAGTAGTCCATGTTTCAAAGGTATCCATAAATAAACGATACCTCACTTTTCAATTCATCCAAGATTCATTCCTTGTAGCGTTGAATCTTCCATTATTAGGAGTTTCGTACGTATGGTGCTCAATACCTAAGAACTTCCATCTTTTTGTAGAGTGACACAGAGCAGTGGCGGGATGGCATCATAATTTTCCTGACAGAAATAGTTCTTGCACTTAAAGAGGTAAAGTGGTTTATCAGCTTCAATAGCTGGTTTAATAAGTAGTTTTAATATTCCTGACGGATAAAATTATTGCACTTAAAGAGGTTGGCTCTTCTGAACTTTATGTTTGATATGAATTGTTAATGTTTTTGGTCCAATGCAGGCTAACAAAAAGACAAGAAATAGAGCTTATGATATCCTTGTCCAAATTGGCCACGCCTGTGGTGATGAGGAGAAAGGCGGGAATAGAGAACACCTGTTGGAATTTTTTAACATGGTACTGAATATTGTTTCAGACTGCTTAGTTATTACTGCTCAAATTTACTGATAAGTCTATTGACTAGAAGTCCATACTTTAGAAGCCTGCGTGGAGCAACCTCTTTTGCCCCCTTCCTCCTTTTGATTATGACTGATTCAATCATCTTTAATTGGTCTTCTGTGGACCAGAGTAGAAATTGATATATAAATATGTAGCAATTCTAAGCTGATCTTATGGTCACAGGTAGCTGGGGGCCTAGCTGGTGAAACTCCTCATATGATCAGTGCTGCAATGAAGGGCTTAGCTCGGTTGGCTTATGAGTTTTCTGATCTTGTTTCAACTGCTACCAATTTGCTTCCGTCCGCATTTCTACTCCTCCAGAGAAAGAACAAAGAAATAATTAAAGTATTCCCCTCTCTTTTAGATTGGCATTTTGGAGTTATGAATTATTTTGAGTTAACTGCTTAATATTTGTTATTTTAATTGATCTTACATGAATATTTTCATTTATTTATTTTATTCTTAGTTGGGCGTTTCCTTATTGCAGGCTAATTTAGGTTTGTTGAAGGTATTAGTGGCCAAATCACAAGCCGAGGGGTTGCAATTGCACTTGAAAAGCATGGTGGAAGGCTTGCTGAAGTGGCAAGATGCTACTAAAACCCACTTCAAAGCCAAGGTTGTTTCCTCAATTAAAATGCATGTGACTCAATTTAGACATCTAGTTCAGTTGGTTTGATAATTAGTCCAAATTCTGACCACTAGCTCGTAAAACCTGATTTGATTTCAGGTTAAGCTTCTTCTAGAAATGCTTGTCAAGAAATGTGGGCTCGATGCTGTTAAGGCTGTGATGCCTCTAGAACATATGAAATTACTTACCAACATAAGGAAGGTCTGTCGAGAGACATCTTGGTAGAATGAACATTTTCCAGGGTACTCGCTACTTATTTCTGATCATCCTTTGTTATGTTTTTTTAATTGAACACAGATCAAGGAACGGAAAGACAGGAAACTGGGTTCTAAATCTGAGGAAGCTAGATCTCAAGTTTCCAAAGCAACTACATCCAGGTCTCAGTCTTACATAATTTTAAAATTAATAAATGCTTGAGCACAACAAATACTGTGCATATTTATGTCTTATTGTACACGCATGTATGTTACCAATTGAAGCTTATGTGATATAAGCTTCAATTCAGTAGCTCAATTCAGCTTCTACTTGGCTATGTTTTGTAACTCTCTGTTATTTTCTATCTTCTTTTCAGGTTAAGCAGGTGGAACCATACAAAAATATTTTCGGATTTTGATGATGAAGAAACTGAGGATAGCGATACAGAATATACGGATGCCAAAACAGTCTTGGGCAAACATGGCAAGGCTTTCTCACAGCTCAAATCCAAAGCATCTTCATTACGGTAGGTTGTATTTTATGTTCATAATGGATTGGGAATGAGTAGATTATGCATCAATCATGATCTTGGTAGCTAGAAGTTTGTCTAACAGGTGTTGCTTGGATCATATCTGACGGTCTAGAAATGTTAAATAAATGATTTCTTAAATAAACACAATCCAATTTAAGCAAATTTATCCAGCAGATCATGTAGCCTGTGGTTCAGTTGGTGGTTTTGTTTGCCATTTTTTTGGAAGTTCTACATCATTCGATGCCTAAGATAAATTTACACAATTGTTTGTAATGCAGAAGAACAAATAAGAACTTGCTTGATCAACTAGAAGATGAGCCACTCGACTTGCTTGATCGGCAAAGAACAAGGTCAGCACTTAGATCATCCGAGAATTTAAAGCGAAAAATGGAGTCGGATGATGGGCCAGAGATAGACGATGATGGGCGCCTAATAATTCGTGATGAAGCAGAATCGTACAAGAGAAAGCCATCGGAACCTGATTCATATGCTAGAAGTGAAGCGGGTAGTTACTTGTCCGTAGACTCAAAGAAAACACAGAAGCGGCGGAAGACATCAGAGTCCGGGTGGGCTGCCACCGGCAAAGAGTACGCCAGCAAGAAGGCTGGTGGGGATTTGAAGAGGAAGGACAAACTTGAACCGTATGCATATTGGCCGCTTGATCGAAAAATGATGAGCCGTAGGCCGGAGCATAGGGCAGCTGCAAGAAAAGGGATATCAAGTGTGGTGAAGATGACAAAGAAGCTGGAAGGGAAGAGTGTCTCAACTATTCTCGCCACTAAAGGCTTAAAGTTTAAGAATAAAAGTAGGGTTCAGAAGAAAGGAGGCAGCAAGAAGAAAAAGTAGGTGAGTACCAGGACTACTTCGATTGACACATTGAAGGGAAACTTGTACTAAAGGTTTTTTTTCAAATTTTTTATTTAAAATTTATAAATTACAGTAATTTTCTTGATTTATTAATTGTTATTATTGTTCTTATACTGAATGGACGCTTGTTATGGGCTCGGGTCATGTTGTGGGAAAGCATATTAGCTGATGGGTTGCTAAGAAACTTCTAATGGGCTTTGTATTGCTGTTACTCCCTGAGGCTCCACTGTAAAGAAAGCATGAATGAAATGAATTGGAACTTTACATATTTTATTTCCCTTCTCTGAATTTCTTCTCTTTCAGTATTAGGGTCTATCATACTGAGCAGCCCAGCCAGCCTATCAAAAAAGAAAAAGAAAAAAAAATGATGAAGAAAGAAAAGAGATCGTCGAGGAACGTGAAAAATGAAAAAAGGGGAACTGAATGTTTGTTTTCATTTTTTGGTCATCATGCTCTAATAAACTCTTTAAGAAGCTATTCTATTCATAAGGGTAAAGAAAAGCGATTTTCAATCTCATTCTGTCAACTTTCTTGAACTTATGATTTCTAAAACACAAACTATGAGAGAGGAGTGTGATGGATAAAATGGGCGTGTGAAAATCGTCACCCAAAAAGCAAAAACGAAACACAAATTAAAACAAAACAAAACAAAATACTTGTTATTGGAACATCATGATTAAAGCAAAAATTTGACAAGATACAAAGCAGCTCACAGTTTCGAAAAAAGTAATGTCATGCAACTGCAAACTCAAATTTCATTACAGCTATCTGATCTTATCAGCCAACTACTTGTACATGAAAACCAAAATCAAACGTTAACTATTGCCCTTGCGGCAGTTCAATGACTAGCACATACGAAGATCAAACCCTACTGTGGCTATTTATGAGAAGGGAAATTTTCTAAGCAAAAGTATTTCTTGATAACCATTGGGTGAGCTCTTAATGTTCTACTTATGGGCCACCTCAACAGTCTTCTCCAGCGATCAACTGTCAAACCGAATTAAGTTTTCAGAGCTGCAACTCACTCAACCAAACAGAAGATCAAATACAAAGGAGACTTCATGGGCGCTTACGGCAATTGGATCAATCCCATCTGCAAATAACAACTTTTGCTCAACTTATGTAAAGCAGACTAAACGAAAGAAAGTGAATCTTGTACTTCCTAAAGAAAGATGGTTCTGCTTTATTTGTTATACATATTACAATTCCTTCTAACAAAAAAGTGACAGTATGCAAACATACCTTAGGGATTGCAGCAAAAGTTGGAGTAGCACACTAGATCTGTGTTACTACTTGTAAGGGGCAAACAAGACTGACGAGTTGTGGCCACCGAACCCAAATGAGTTAGACAATGCCACCTTAACGTCCAGTCTCTCCTTCTTTGGGCCCACTAGTAGTTTTGTATCCTGAATTGATGTGTAGACAAATTAGATGATTCCAGTGATAAATTGAAAATAACTATCGTTTCACTTCCTATCATACA